TCTTTACTGTCGCTGCTCCCCTTCGCAGACTCCTAAGGAAGGAAGCAATCTGAAAGTGGGACAAAAATTGCACCTCGGCCCTAAAGAAATTAAAGAGGGGCTTGGTGGAATATCATGTCCTCAAGGTAGTTGATCCCTCATTGCCCTTCGTCGTCACGACAGATGCAAACCAATATGGCATAGGTGTTGTGTTACAACCGAATAACGATGATGGCTATAGACCCGTAGACTTCCTGTCAGCTAGGCTGCCTTCAGATAAACTAGCAACCTCGATGTATGAGACAAAACTCTACGCTCTCAGACAAGCATCAGATCATTGGAGATAGCATCAGATCATTGGAGATATTACCTGCTTGGGAGGCATTTTAAAACTTACTCAGATCATGAAACTCTGAGGTGGCTTAAGACACAAACCAAGATGACGCACAAACTGACTAGGTGGGCAGCAGAGATAGATCAGTTTGACTTCCATAGTCGATGCTCTAAGTAGAAGGGCTGATTACTTTGGAGCAATCGTGCATTATCTAAACATAGAAGTAAATCTGCAGCAGAAAATAAAAGAAGCATATGCTCAGGACCCGATCTACAGTTATCTCCTGAAAAAAAGGTTCAAGAAATCCCTGATAGCGAACCAGCTTACAAGACCACAAACGGGCTACTCTTTGAGAAGACCAATGTCATTGATAGATTGTGCCGCAGTTTGATCTTAGGGGAAAGCCATGATACAGAAGGACACTTTGGCTGGCAAAAGACATTAGCCAACCTATCGATGTCGTATACATGGCCTGACATGAAAGTAGACTGTACAAGGTATGTCCGCAATTGTAAAGTCTGCCAGCACAACACGACGACGACAGGAGCACCCTGCTGCAGGATTTGGTCTGCAACAGCTCGCCCTAGTGGAGACAACCTATCAGTACAGCACTCTGTAGGTGGTTCATATGGTAATCTATTTTCCTCCTCAGGCTGCTGTGCCCTTCGTTCGCCAGGCAAGGAAGAAGGAATTCTGACTGCGCTTGCAATAGGTGTATGACCAGCACCGCATGTGGGACATGCCAAGAGAGGATGTGGCGGATGATGGCACCGGGGATAGTCCATGCAGTAGAGACACATTCTTTCTATGACAGCTTCCTGGAAACATTGACAACACATGGCATGTTGCTGACATGCCATCAGCAAAGAAGGCTGACGTGCACAATTATTCAAGCATGGCAGATCAAGGCCACAACAGCATGCTGGGGAAGTAATCAAGGGGTGTGGGAGGTGAGCACAAGACGAAGGATCGCAGTTTTCGTGGCAGAGGCTGGCAGCGACCATCCCTTCATAGTGTTCGGAGCAGAGGCTATGCTGTGCACATGCTAACCAGACTGTACCTGTGCAACGACACAATGGGAGGAGGGCACAATCTGGGTCCCCTGGAGAGGTCCAGAGGCTGGCAGCAACCAACCCTTCATAGTGTTCAGAGCAGAGGCTATGTTGTGCACAGGCTAACCGGACTGCACCTGTGCGACAACACAATAAGAGGAGGGTAAAATCTCCATCCCTTGGAGAGGTCCCTTCACTGTTCGTGGTAGAGTCTGTCCGATCCACATAGGGAGAGGATGCTGCCTGACCATGCACAGGGGAAGGAGGAAGTTCAGCCGGATTGCTCTCTGGAGGCAGTATTGCTTCCGAGTGCTCATCGCCATACTGTTCCTGATGGACGAGCCAGACCGAGTGATGTTCTACCACTTGGTGATAGAAAAAGTTGATATTTCCCACTGCGTGCACCCTACCGCGATTGTCCCATAGGGTCCATGAGTTATCCGGAAAGGTAAAAACACTGAAATGACCTGGACGATGTAAGATGTATACCCGAATATTCACATCCAGGCCTGGCAAGTGAGTTTGCGGAGCAGGCTGGAGTTGTAGTCGCCTACCCATAAATGCCATATACAGGACTTCTATGTTCAGGCCAGGTGCAGTACTGCCGTCCTCCGGGCAGACGGCACAGTGCTCTTCTTCTATCCAGCGGACAATATGTTTGCAAAAAACAGTATAAGGGTTGTAATTGTAGGCAAGGAGACACACATTAATGGCATAGTACACACACCGACCTCGCTGTAGCACTATGACATCATCCGATTCTGCAGGTTGTATGGCAGGGGGAGGAGGTTCCTCCAATCTCCAGATTGCATGGCCGGAGGAGATTCATTGCAGTCTTGACCATTTCTGGCAGGTTCCTCCGGCTTGTATTATGCGCTCCGCGGAGAGAGATCATCTCGAATCGGAGGCTCCATCAGGTGATCAGAAGATGGATCATTATCATTTGAGGCAGGGGAGAACGCAGGGTCGCGTGGATGAGGAATAGATGGGTCAGATGCGGGAAGCGGAGGTTGGTCAGTCGCACTTGCGTTCAAAGTGGCTGCTAGTCGTGCAAATGCTCCACAGGTAGCTGCACCTCGTGGCTGGTGCACACGCAGGCCTGCAGCACTGAAGAAATCATCACCACATTGCGGGCATCAGACTCGATATGTACTACTCCTGGCCAGTGTATATCAAGAGCGACGATGTCGTTCTGTACGCTTGCGAGCATGTCGTCGGAGCAGATCTCTAACCCCTGCAGGGGGTGTGATATTCATGCTGTTCCAGGACAGACGAGGCCGCTGTCTTGGAGGCAACGGCAGAGACAGGGAACGTCTCGGCCAAAGAGGGATCTGTAATGATCCATCCGATGCTGGATGTCTCTGCCGACCGGGCGTTTGTGACGGCTGATCTGACCATGAATGTGCTGATGATGAGGTTGATGAAGAAGGGGAGCCATGTGAGGTGGAGGATAAGGAGAAGGAGGAGGAGGCGGAAGAAGAAGAGGAAAATAAAGAAGAGGAGGCAGATGACTGAGGGGATGATGTAGTAGTAGATGTCGCCGGGGGAGGTGGTGGTGATAGTGGTGGTGGCAGTGGTGGTTGTGATGGGGGGGGGGGGGGGGGGGGGGTGGGGGAGGATGGGCGGAAGCCGGGGGGTGGTGGGGGGGAGGG